GGTTTAATTTGATAGGTAATTCAGGTCTGTTACCGCATGCCATTACTATATACGTATATCTAATAATTCAGGACTGTTACCGCATGCCATTACTATATATGTATATCTAATAATTCAGGTCTTGTGCGGGTGTGTAGGGGGACGCACGACCTCCTAATAGCCCACAGGGAGAACCGCAAAATACCCTCGATGGCCAACGGACACGGATGGATCACCACAGACCCGATCATAGTGCTGATATGGTATGACAACTTAACTAGTGCATTCTGTTTATTCCAGTATGTATGTATATATATATATATATATATATATATATATATATATATATAAAAGGTTAGTAGGGGTGTTGTACTGTGATTTGTCTATTATTTATTTTTATTGTTTGCTAGTGTTGAAGGTCATGAAATAGTGTAAAAAACAAAATACTAGTTACTCAAGATAATCAAGTTACTCTAACTGCAAAAAACAAAAAAAAAAAAAAAATCATCAACTGAAGATAATCGAGATGCTAGGTAGTGAGGTCTACAGTGTTGAGGGTAGGATGGTAGGTGTAGCAACTTAACTAGTGCATTTTTTGTGTTATTCCAGTGTATAAAAAAGATTACTAGGGGTGTTGTGCTGTGATTTATCTATTATTTATTTTTTCTAGCTAGTTATATATTTAGGTTGTGTTTAAACAGGTATCTACAGTTTCTGCTCATGGCATTATTATATATGTATGTCTAATTCAGGACCTGCAGGGGATGCACCGCCTAATAATAGTCCACGGGGAGAACCGCAGGACACTTGGGTTGGCCAGAGGCCACGGCCGGTTCACCACGGGCCCGGTCCTAGTGCTATTACGGTATGGCAGTTTATTTGTGCATTGTAATACTGGCTCGTACTGTAACAGTCTGGATTTCTTATTAAGTATGCATGGTTGTGGTGCACTTGGGCTGCTTGGTCATAAACATTGCATATGCATGTTCAAAGAAACATCATTACGTGATTGGTTTAAGTTTTTTTTTTTTTTAAGATTTGGGTGCCCGGTCAAATTATTTAATTGGGGTGCTACTTCCTAAAGTGTTCTTTTATTTTACCTTGTCCCTGTGTTTATTCAGCATGTTTGAAAACGAAAAAGGGTAAGCGAAGAGAATAAACAAAAATTATACAGGAGGCTGCCTAAATTATAGTTTTATTTAATTTTATTCGTCCAGGAGATGTGTGGCATTTGGTAGGCCAACCAACTTAACTAGTACATTTTTTTGTGTTATTCCCGTGTGTAAAAAAAATATTAGGTGTGTTGTGGTGTGTATATCTAGTTAGGTATGTAGGTTGTCGTTAAACAGTTTATCTACACTTTCTGCTCATGGAATTATTATATATGTATGTCTAATTCAGGACCTGCAGGAGGATGCACCGCCTAATAATAGTCTACGGGGAGAACCGCAGGACACTCGGATTGGCCAAAGGCCACGGTTGATTCATCACGGACCCGTTCCTAGTGCTGTTACGGTATGACAGCTCATAGAAAATGAGTGCAGAAACCACACATGAGGAATAGATTATTTGTGCATTGTAATACTGTTTCATACTGTAACAGTCTTGATTTCTTATTAAGTATGTACATCTGTTATGAGCTACTTCTAGCTGGGGTGAAACATTGCGTATGCATGTTCAAAGATTGGTCTAAGTTTTTTTAAAAAGATTTGGGTGCCCGGACAGATTATTTAATCAAGGTGCCACTGCCTAAAGTGTTCTTTTATTTTATCTTATCACTGAGCTTATTCAGCATGTTTGAAAACGAAAAATGGTAAGCCAAGAGAATAAACAAAAATTATATAGGAGGTTGCCTAAATTTTAGTTTTATTTAATTTTATTCGTACAGGAGATGTGTGGTTCATTTTTTTTCTTTGGTTCATTTTTAGGGGGATGCATGGCAAGTACCACAAGCCACCCAGGTTGACCAATGCTCACGCGTTCCTAGAGCCATTACAGTATGCCAAAATAAACTGGTGCACTAGGTTATAAAATGTGCACGAGTGTCCGTAACAAAATTGATTTAACTACAGGTGGACGCACTGGTCCGTGCGTCGGCGGCACGTGCTAGGAACCCCCCTGCAAGAGTAGGAAACGGGGATGCGCGAACAGTGCAAAACGCCACCACTCCAAGTTCTACCGGGGTATGCATCACCAACTCCGGTGCACTAGTTTTGAACGGGTATGCATCGGTTGACTTTGCTATATTGTTTCTTTTCTAACCAACCGCTTGCCTGTAGGGGTTCCACCATGAATTCGCAGCCATGACTAGGGACCTGCTTGCGATAGGCACACGGGTTGCAGAAACAATAAGGAAAAACCAAACACTAGCTTTTGAGGACCGAAATTTCCAGAGGGTTGGCAACGTGGCAAATCTGTTATTAAGGTGGGCACGTAAAGGGACACCACAAACCGGCCCACAGTCACCTCAACCACAAACTGTGACGGCCGGCCATCTAGACGACAATCTTTGGCAAGACTCGCAATTCTTAAGGGAGCTAGACCGGGTGGAGGAGGAAGCAAGACGAGCGACAGTACCAGGGCAAGCACAACAGGTTGCAACGCAGGATACAGGGGGGTTTGAGGCACCAACGTTTAGCCTGGGGTTGACACGGGAGTTCGCAACCACGAGGGCAGACGACAACACGCCAGCACCGTCAACTATACACACGCCAACTCAGCAGGTGCGGGCATTAATAGGTAGAGCCATGTGCATTACGCACGATTTGCATGATATTTTCTAACTTCTAGGTGTAGGTACCCATGCAGGTGCAACTGGGAGGGCACAGGTTGGGGTCAACACCACAGTCCGTACCCCCAGGGATGAAAGCAGGTCCGGATCGCCATCCAAGGACCACTATTGGGGCGGGAGACCAGCATTTTTGGCATGTATTTCAGCACCAGCAATGGGTACCTTAACATGCCTTTACCACCGGTGTATGTCGTTTTGATGTGGTTGTTCAACTCCCCACACAGTGACCGGTAAGTTGCATGGATCTTACATGTGAATATATACAAGCCGGCTGTGGCACCGTCATTGTGTCTAAAAAAAATACAGGAATGAAGTTCTATTCCGCCATGCCACACGCACAGTGAGATGGTCCCAGTTTTTATCATTAAAGGCAAGGACGAACGTTGGTAAACCAGTGGTAGATGCATGGTGCTCGGTGCTCAATGCAAGGGAGCAGCTTGGGGGTTGGGAGATGCCTTCTCGGCTATTTGTGTCAACGTCGGCTACAGTATTGTGGATCATGCAATTTAATTTACATTCTTCTCAAAACAGTCAACACATAATGATACACTGTATACAATTTACAAGAGTATATTATTCGTAGTGCACCCATTCAGCACCGCACAGTGCACATACAAACACACTTAGATTACAGAGATCCCAACCACCTAACGGTGCACAAATAGACACACCAAAAATACACATATGCACCACCATAGCATCTTGGGGTTTATATATATCTACTGACTGGTATTGGTTGCAGATTAGGACGGTGGTGAACATTGCAGCCAGGCGGGATCAAAGGGTAACGTGGATTCAACGGCGTCTTGATGCTGAATTCCAAACAACTCACCATGTGGGGACAGCCACATTGGACATGGTAAGACGCCAGTCGTGTTCCGAATAGGCGATCCAATCGGCTACGCACATCGGACAGCTTAGGCTAACCCCTATTATTTGTGTTTTGCAGTATTTCTTCCCCATATTCCACAAGCCACGGTTCTACGTGATGTGCATAAGTTTTAAGCATAATGGGTTTGTCATCATAGACAGCTCACCAACGACTAGCAGATGAATTGGTAAACATCACGCACCCTCAACACGTAATACTATTGGTTAAGTATACTCGCACACCTTCTGAACTAATGATTGTTTCCAGAGGGACCTCCTCGCTGCGTACCTAGATAACAAGCAGCACACTGTCCGGGCTCTGCGGTTGAGGAACATGCAACCCGAGAGGATGAGGTTGGCATGGTCAGACAACCCTACCAACGGTGACTCGGGAGTATACACAATGAGGCACATGGAAGATTTTGTTGGTCAAGATCCCAAATATTGGCATTGTGGCCTGGGGATGGGGGATACCGCAGTGATTGAAAATATGCGGACGAGGTTTCTGCATAACATCTTGCTATGTACAGTCAATGCCAACATCGACAATATCCGCACACGAGTAGTGGAGTATGACCGCCATAGGGCCGAACAACTAATAAAAGGAGCACCACAGTGAAGGACGGGTATGAGGTAGTGGTTGTTTAGTTCTGTTTAGGTTAGTGCACAGCCCGAGCCAAGTGTAGCACGGCCGGAACAGCGCAAATGTAGAGTAACAGATTAATAAATTATGTGCATACGTGGGAAGTATTGGCTGCTTAATTTTGTTTAGTTTGGTGCACAACACTAGTCTTTATATTGGGTATATATACATTTCCAGTTTGCCTGAAATGTCTCGAGTCTTCACTTAAGATAAGATTACAAGATTGATTTAGTTGGCCTCCAAAATAAAATAAAAATTCCTTCAATGTTATCCCTGGAAAATGCTAGCATAAATGCATGAAAGGTTTCGAAATTGTCTTTCACTTTACACTACTACTTGTTTGGTAAAGTACAACTTCAGTGCATGGTTGAGGTAGACTTATACTGTGAAGTGTCATTACAGAAAGTACACATGACTAATAAATTTAATTTTGTAGGTATTATTTTTGAAAAGTGAAAAAATTATGATTTGTTAAAATTATTGCAAATAACTTTGAGGTATCAGAAGAACTCAACATATACACAACTCATATGCATGTAGCAATTTTATCGACTCACAAATAAATTAGTACGGTGGGGCAAAACGTAGATGCATTTGCACCGCTCCAAAGTCATTATTAATAACCAGATACAAAGGATAGAAACTTAGAATTAATAAAATTGGTCAAAATCTCAATGTCTTTAATAATAAGCAGAAATGACCGTCTCGGTGCACTAATCACTTCAACGGACAGCTGCGGGCGTTATGATGTGTGTACTCGCCGCACACCCCGCACTTTCTGCAAGCCTTGCCACTTCTCTCAATAGCTAACTCGCGTTGGCTTTTAATTCGCTTGCTGGTCCCTTTGTTTTTTGCTTGAGATGGCGGTTTGATGATTATGGACATCGGCGGCTCCACACCGCACAAAGCTGCAATGACAACATCGTTTCCTTTTGGGAGGTCAACGCCCATACCATCGCCCAAAAACTCGTCTCTCAATTCTTTTATTACCTGTAGCATTCGCGTTTGGCGCACTTTATTGCTTCCAACCATCACGGCGCAATTGTGTATCTCAGTCCACAACTGGCTAGGCATAGTTTCTAAAGGAGGGCAGTCAGAACATCGAGCACACCAGCTAGCTAGTCCTTCCTGCTTACACCACCGTGCTGCAATGTACCGTGATGGCAAGCTCACCATTTCGGCATCTCTGAACACAAGAAACATATGCTGGCAAACAAACCTCAATCTTTCAAACAACTTGCAGCTACATGACGCAATACTCAAAGACGGGGTATATTCAACAGTATGGACAGCGTTGTACTCCCCTTTAATGTCGTAACGGATGCACTCACCGTCTGCACGGATCCCCACAACCCGACAATAAAAATATGCAGCTTCGATCTCTAGCTGGAGCTCATAAAACACTGTTACGGTGAATACCTGCACCGTGTGTCGCTCCAATGCTAAAGGAGTTTTGAACTCAGGCAAGGACCCCTCACTCTCAGCATTTAATTTACTTTGTCTGTGCCATTGAGTTTCCAAGACGCTCTCAAATTGCACGTAGAACTCGACCAGACTACAATGTGGGCGTGTGCTTTTACCGTACGCATTGTTCTCTGCTTCTGAATGCGAGGTGGTACGTAGAACACCTCTCATCAGTAAATCTAAAAAATATGAAGGAATCCAAAACCACCGTTCTGTGTATAACTTGGTAAACCATCGATGCCCCGTTAAGTTGTACTTTTCCATTAGCAACTGCCATTGTGTTTCAAAATCACCAATGCTAATTGTCTCATTCCACACAATGTTGTTAAGCTGTTTGCGGAAAGTCTGATCTTTTGATAATTCGGGGCCTGACTTCTCACTCACTTTGGTCATGATATGCCACGTGCAGTAACGGTGACGGCACTCTGGCAGTACTCGTGCAATAGCACTCTTCATAGCCGGATCTTCATCAGTAACGACACACGAGGGACTATTTCCCATTGCTGTTTTAAATCCCTCGAGAAGCCACACGTATGAGTCAGTGTCTTCTCGAGTTAGCAACCCGCCAGCAAACGTAATGCACCGTTTGTGGTGGTCTACACCGGTAAAAGGTATGAACACCAAACTGTACCTGCAATACAACGAGTTCACACGTTAGCATGGTGGAAACAAATTTAGTAATTGGGATACCGAGTTTTAGTGTGCACTAACTTTTGGGGCACACACGTGTAGCGTACTATTAAATTACTGCCAAATTACCACTAACATGTCTCCAACGTGTAATGTGCACTTTACATCAACAGTATAAAATACGCACAAAAATTCACAACAACAATATTAAGTTACTACTGCATTTCGGTATGATTACCATGCACTTTACAAAATCAACACAATCAACGGTCTAACATTGCCATACCTGTTCGTACCATACGTTGCATCAAAAGAAATCACATCACCAAAACTCAAAAAATTTTGACGCCCGGTGTGGTCAGCCCAAAAAAGACGCGCAAGATGGTTTCCTTCATCAAGATAGTAATCAAAGAAAAAGTTCTCGCAGACGTCATGTTTTTGTTTAAACTTTGCAATGATCATCTCTCTATCCTTATCGGCAACGTACGACTGGAGGTCCCGTTTGAAATTATGGAACTCCGTGTCTGTTGCACCAACGTTGGCGAACGACCCCACCGATTCCTTGTATAACCGGAAGCCTTAGACCCACCCACGTTAACTTTAACACAATTCGTAAGGAACGCTTGCTGGGCCACGTCCAGTTTTGTGTTGATTCGCATAAATAGCTTCGAAGGCTCAGAGCACATGCGGTGGGTGTGTTCGGGAACAAAAATGCTGACAACGAAGCCCGCACCTTTGTCCTGTGTGATGCAGATTCGAGCATTGCAGTTAACCCTGTTAGATACTCGTCTCCTGCGTTGAGTGCTCGGACCACCACTGGCACCCTCTACTGGTTTTGGGGTGCTCCTACCGCCGCCTTTTACGCCTTCCCGGCTGCATAACAAATAACGCGTGGTAATTTTGCCATCACGGCCTCGCTTTGGTGTGCCGTGCCTCACAGAGAAACCACATGTTCTCGCATAGGTCATATAGAAATGCACCCCTTCTGCTACTGTTTTGAAACGGTAACCGACAACCGGGGTAATTGCACAATCCACGGTAGGCCACCAATATTTGACTGGTATACTGATGTACCCACCCGTGCCCACACTCTCCTGCCCCTCGTCATCTGCAAAAAAAAAAA